AAAACAAACAAAACAATTGGTGACAAACTAGATACTACGGAAGCGTAGTAGGGCCACGGTGAAAAAAAAATTTGGGGTCACTATCTCCTACGTAGGACTTAATATCTCCTACGTAGGACTTAATATCTCCTACGTAGGACTTAGTATCTCCCACGTAGGACTTCATATCTCCTACGTAGGACTTAGTATCTCCTTCGTAGGACTTAATATATCCTTTTTTAAGGATGGTTATTAAGTTGAGAAATGTTTGGCTATGCAGGACGTTAGATAGTCGAAATGTGAGTCAGTGAATATTCATGACACTAACGCAGTGTTACTGTGTGTGTATTACGTTAGGGTGACGTGGACCCTGTTCTAATTGCAGTTATGGAGGTTTGGGTATGGTTATGATTGCAGTTATGGAGGTTTGGGTATGGTTATGTTTACTCTATCATACATACATCTATTCACACACACACACAGAGGTGGGTGGGATGGTTGGGGTGAGGTTGTGATATGAAACTCGGGTTATAACACGACCTCCGCAAGTTGTTGCTTGTCTTTATAGGGCTAGGTTGGATCGGATGCAACGCTCGTTTGCGGTTTTATTCGTAATTGTTTACAGGTTGACTTGACTGGGGTGGACAAGTGTTGAGTGCGGCGTAAAACAATACGAAATTCAAAAGGCAAAGAATTGACATTATAGTTATTTGTATAAATATAAGGGGATACCTGCGCATAGATTGCCACCTGTAGTCTAAGACACGTCTGTACACGCAGATTATGATTCATGTGCAACGACCTCTGAAATATCCAATGCATAATAGTGCAACATATAACAGTGAACTAACTGCAACGCGTAATAGTAGAGCAAACTGAACGCAAGGCAGCACAGTACTAATGTGCAACAATTAGTTGAACACATGACTCTAATAGTGAAGGAAACAGTAGACTCTAATAGTAAATGAAACACATGATAGTAGACTCTAACAGTAAATGAAACACATAACTGTAGACTCTAATAGTGAATGAAACGAATGACTGTAAACTCTTACAGTGACTGAAACAGTGAAACAGGAGATTGTGTGCGTGTCTGGGGCTTTAAGTCGACCGTTTCAGAGTATATCGATCATCTCCTACAGGAAGTATTAAGTACTACGTAGGAGATACTATGTCCTACGTAGGAGATACTAAGTCCTACGTAGGAGATACCCACTTAGGAGATACTAACTCCTACGTAGGAGATATTAACTCCTACGTAGGGGATACTTAGTCCTACGTAGGAGATACTAAGTCCTACGTAGGAGATACTAAGTCCTACGTAGGAGATACTATGTCCTACGTAGGAGATAGTAAGTCCTACGTTGGAGATACTAACTCCTACGTAGGAGATACTAAGTCCTACGTAGGAAATACTATGTCCTACGTAGGAGATACCCACTTAGGAGATACTAACTCCTACGTAGGAGATACTAAGTCCTAAGTAGGAGATATTAAGTCCTACGTAGGAGATATTAAGTCCTACGTAGGAGATACTAAGTCCTACATAGGAGATATTAAGTCCTACGTAGGAGATATTAAGTACTACGTAGGAGATAGTAAGACCAAAAAAAATTTTCATCGTGGCCCTACTACGCTTCCGTAAGATACAGGGTTCATGATTCCGGATAATTGAACGGATGTGGATAGACGGATGCTTCAGCCCAAGGTGGCCGGGGTTTTGGTGGTTGTCGTAAGTTAGGGCTCATCTGCTCATTTTATATATATTTGACACGTAGGTGGAGAGAGAGTTTATCAGAGAGAGTTCATCAGAGAGAGTTTCATCAGAGAGAATTTATCAGAGAGAGTTAATCAAAGAGAGTTCATCAGAGAGAGTTTAGCAGAGAGAGTTTAGCAGAGAGAGTTCATCAGAGAGAGTTTAACAGAGAGAGTTTAGCAGAGAGAGTATATCAGAGAGAGTTCATCAGAGAGAGTTTAGCAGAGAGAGAGGGAGAGAGAGAGAGAGAGTTTAGCAGAGTTGTACATGAACGATCAACGTGTGGTAGTGTAATGTTTGTTCAGCTGGACACAGGGTGTAATTCGTACACTGTGCAGTCAGATTATCAGTTGTCATAGTTAATATGGATTTATTACCCTCAATTCAACGATTCTGTTAATATGTGCTACTGGTATTGTTCTTGGTTGACATGTGTTATCGTATCCCAATTGCGTAGATCGATGCTCATGCTGTTAAACTGGTTCAGACTCGATTATTTGCAGACCGCCGCCATATAGCTGGAATATTGATGAGCGCGACGTAAAACTAAACTCACTCACTCACTATGTTGTATCAGCAGATTCTGCTTTGTCTTTGGTGAGTGAGTGAGTTGGGTTTTACGCCGCCTTCAGTAATATTCCAGCTTTCATCATATTCCAGGCTTCACACATTCATGTAGGGAATCGAACCTTGGCCTTTGGGCCACCCCACCGCTCCGCTTTGTCTTTGGATTCAAAATAGCTGCAATTATGGACCATGTCAAGTGCTTCTTTATTCAATATTAGACGCTAAATGAAAACACTTGACGGCAATTTCTGCTTAGTCATTTCATTTCTCTCTGCCAAGTACACACACATGGTAGACACGTCAGTGTTGACAAAGTTTGTAGTTTTTCATTGCTCGATCCCAAAATGACACGTGCATGTGTATATGTATGTAAATCGACTGCAGACTGTTTGCCACGAAACACATTGGGCGTGTTAATATGTTAGCAATGACTGCCGGGAGATCAAGGGACGCAGTTAATGACATCTAATAGAAACACTCATCAACTACAGCCCCTAAAGTGCGTGTAAGGAACTATACCCCAGGCGTGTCGTATCGTTGAGGAATGTCGAGTGTTTGTCTGGGTAAACTCCCACGTAACTAAACCTCTGTCTCCTATATTGTTACCCCCGTTTGGATCCTGGAGGGAAACGATTGCTAGAGTCGACACAGGGGACTGGGTGGCCAGACTATACTACTTGACTGAGGGCGGTTGGGTTGTCTAGTGGTTAAGGTGTTCGCTCGTCACGCTGAAGACCCGGGTTCGATTCCCCACATGGGCACATTGTGTAAAGCCCATTCCTGGTGTCCTCCGCCGTGATATTGCTGGAATATTCCTTAAAGCGGCGTAAACCCCAACTCACTCACTACTTGACTGACTGGGTGTTATGTCCAGATGATGCTCATGCTGTCAGTCACCGGTTAATCGTTGGAATATTGGGGTCGTTAAACAGCAAGCAAACAGACGGCTACAAACAGTCGGGTACGGTTTGATACGCACATATGTATATTTCTATGAGCATATCTTGCATTTAACTCTCTTCCTAATTAATGTAACCGATAATTAATTGTCCGATCAACTTACTGACAGAAATGAGTTTTGAAAATGACTGATGTGGTGGATGACTGTTTTCATATACACGGGATCGGATGGTCAGGCTCGTTGGCTTTGTTGACACATGTCATCGTATCCCAATTGCGTAAATCGATGCTCATGCTGTTGATCACTGGAGTGTCTGGCCCAAACTCGATTATTTACAAACCGCCACCATATGGCTGGAATACTGATGAGTGAGGCGTTTAACAACCAACCAAAGAAACAAGTATTAAAGTATTAATGTAGTGCATGAATGTATTCATATATTCATATTCAAGAATCGCCCCTTAATGACTCTTAAGTAGAGCTCTATTGAAAACCTCGGGCACAAATTCGGTGAGTTCTTCTCCCACGGCTGTGTAATGGGGACCGTGATTATGTCACTGCCTCTGTAGGTTGTTTGTCGCTCTTGCAGATGTTCAGCGTGTAAGAAAAACTACATTTGATTTACGCAGTTGCAATTACAACAATGAAATTTGATTTCCAAAGGCAGCTGTATGTTGTTATACACCCATCAAGTGTTTTATTTGACGCCAACTGGGTTATTATTCCCACACCTTTCTTTAATTCAGTTGGCATCGATATAATTTCTTCAAAGGGCAAGTTGCTCAACTTCAAGGCACACACACAACTATCAAGTAAACAGGGTTTTAAGAAGTGTGATCTTCAGAAACAGATCATGAACCACGAATGACTTTCAGACTTTGAAGGTTTCATGGGTCAAATTGTAAGATCTATTAGATATCCTTATTATCCTTCATAATATATATATTACATAGTGAGTGCATTTAGTTTTACGCCGCTTTAAGCAATATTCCAGCAATATCACGGCGAGGGGAAACTAGAAATAGGCTCCACGTGGGGAATCGAACTGGGTCTTCGGCGTGACGAGCGAACTCTTGAACCCCTGGGCTTCTCCGCCACCCTTCTTATACAGTATGAATCCGTGAAGATCCGGGTTAGAACTGGATTTCAGTAACCCATGCTTGTCGTAAGAGGCGACTAACGGGATCGGGTGGTCGGGCTCGCTGACATTGTGGACACATGTCAACGTATCCCAGTCTCGTTGATCGATGCTTATGCTGGTGATCACCGGGATGACTGGTCCAGACACGATAATCTACAGACCACCTTCATATACTAGTAGCTGGAATATTGCTGAGTGCGATGTTTACAACAAACAAACAACACGCATTATGAATGGTGGGGTGGGGTGGGGTGGGGTGGGGTGTGTGTGTGTGGGGGAGTCGGACAACTGGTAGTCTAGACTGCGGACTTTGTGTAACTAATAGCATGCAAACTGCCTTGCCTCGGCATGTATTTGTGACTGGTGCAATGGATCGGACTAGATAAGCTCATATTTTTCCGATACGTTGTATCATCTCTGCTAGTGATTACGAAACGCATGTTCTTGACATATTCTTAATCCTACAATAGCCTGTGTTCTAAGCATACGTTTAGAGGGTAAACGATTTAAGTCACTTTGGTGCTGTACTTAAACACTATTAAGTAACGCCAGACCCTGCTCACATATCTCATCCTGGTTTTGTAAACAGAATAGAGAAGTAAGCCAAACACATCCAGCATACCAACAACTGAAGTTTATCTCTTTTTATCTTCCAGATTTACGTAGGAGTCCACATCGGGCCGGCATTATCTAAGTCCCAAGATGGAGTTCGACAATTTGTCGTGTGTTAACGCCACAATGGTAAGGGATGTGGACGCTTTGTGCAAAGACACTGGGGGTGGAAATGCAACATGCAACAAACAGGCACTGGGCATCAATTTGTCAACACCCATCCTTATGCTGTCAACAGGCGTCCTTGGAAACGTCCTTGCCCTTGTTGTTTTGTACACGTCCAAAAAGGAGGTCAGAAAGACGGTGTTCTTCACGATGCTCGCTGGGCTAGCGTGGACTGACGTCATTGGTCAGATGTGTGCTGGGCCAATTGCAATTATCACATATGCTAACAATCTCCAATGGCAAGGCGGAGACCCCGTGTGCAAATACCATGGTTTCACGATGGTGTGTTTTGGTATTCTAACCCCACTGTTGGTTTTGATAATGTCCCTGGAACGTGTTCTAGCTTTGCGTTTCACCTACTTCTACGCAAGAGTCGTAACAGTCAGAAAAGCCCAGTTTATGATCGTCGGTTGCTGGGTATTTACTTTATCGTTCTGTACGCTTCCTTTCATGGGTCTGGGGACATACGCACTTCAATTTCCCAAGTCCTGGTGCTTCTTGAATTTTCACCGACAGAGCAACACTGATGCGGCGTTCGCCTATTTATTCTCCATCATGAACATCCTTGTAATCTCCCTCATCTTCGTGGCCAACTGTATCGTTGTCGTGACGTTGCTGCAGATGCGTCGGACTCGGAGGATCAACAACTCCCCATCCATAGATCGGAGACTGCGCGTTAGCGGACATCGACACAGGAACATACTCGAGATGGAAATGGAAACTCAGATGGTGTGGTTTCTAGGAGCAATCACCATTGTTTTCTGTACCTGCTATGTACCCCTCAATGTGAGTATCCGTCAATAAAAAAATGCATATTATTTCATCACCTTCACTAACACCTCTAAAGATTTTGCTGTTCAGATTGCATTATGTTTAAGAACCAGGAACCACATGCAACATTCAGACTTCCTTTTAAGAATATTTGTAGAACTTGTATGAACACAATGACGGATCAATATAACATTTATAATTATATTTAATTCATTGGTTTGTCTATGCAAATGTGAATATGTAATTTGTAATTCAATCCGGTGAATGAAAATGCGGCGACTTTTATTTGAAAAGGTATTCAAATTAGCTGGGAATTGGTTACAATTTAAGTCAATACGATCATTCACACAACCTTGACAACATGTGAAGTCCGTGACGCTCTGCCTATTTGCGCCATGATTTAGGTTTTTGAAAGTGTGCGAATGTGTGTACAATATGGTGTGTACAATTATATTCACAAATTCAGCTAGTGTAATACTTTCAACTTATCGTCCTGGTGTTAAAATTATTTTAAAAATCCAGATTCCGGTCTTGATTGATCATGACGAATCGTGACCACCTGAACATGTCTATAGCAGTAACAACCACACTTCTTGATGTAAATTGAATCCAACGTATCTAAAGTACGCGTAGTCTGTCTCACAGTCCCCAAACCGCATTATTGTACCTTATGTCCATCCCTCTCTGCAATGCTAAAGTCCAAAATAAAGCAAGTCTAGATTTCCTCAGGTTCAACATCTCCCATCTCACTGGGAATCCTTTTCAATTTGAAAGGAATTATCTATATCAAAGGTAATACTATGTTTATTCAGACTACAGTTTATTCTAAATTGCGCGTTGTTGCAGTGAAACCCCCCCTCCCGATATACATTTGTACCATAAAGATATTCGTGTTATCCGTAGCTCGAGACCACCTCGAGACAACTGGGATTTGATAGTAGGCCAAATTGTTTTGAAGTTGATTCCAGAGGGATCATTTATTGCTCTGCGCCATATCCAGTTAACGTGTTTTTAGAAACGTTATTTCAGGGTCTCATGTCAGTGGTTGTGTGTTAACTTTCCATGATTTTATATGATTTCAGGTTCACATTCTCACAAATCAGATCACTGGGCAAATCGATGTCAAAAAGGACTTAATTAGCATTCGTCTGGCAAGTATCAACCAAATTCTAGACCCATGGCTCTATATTCTTTTGAGGAAAGCAATGTTTTTCAAATTCCTCAGAAGGGTCAAGCAGTTTGTGGCCCAACGGAAGCGACCAAGTTCATCACGAAGGCATTTTGCTGCACACATGGAAGGGTCTCAGAACGGTTCCTTTGCTGCGTATCAGATGCATTCTGCATCGGGAGCACATCATAACAGTCATCATTCTCTAAACGAATGCGTACATCCCGAAAAAAATCATATCGGAAGTGCTATAGAGGCCACAACGAGGCCAGAGTTAAGGGACACAACTCTGAACGGAAGCAGTGACAGTGAATCGGATGTGTTTGTTGAGCCTCAAATTAGGACTAAGGCGAGTTTTATCAGTATTGATGAGTACATTGCGGCTCACAGGTTGAAGAGAAGGGATTCAAGTGGAGGTGGGGACATCAATGGGAACAAGAAGTTACAAAGACTATACAGCTTACCAGCATATCTGAAAGGAACTGAAAACGATGGCATCGATACACAGCTGTCATGATTTGTATTAATCACAAACATTAATATGTCCCTCCAAAATAGATAACTCGTGGCCAGAACCTGTAACAACTGTTCAAGATTCAATAATGTGAAACATCAGTCAGAAAATGATCGGTCTCAATTGTCCGAAGAAATAGATTCCATTGAGCTCGAAATTGAAATTAGAGCTGAACATTATTTGAATGGATCACTGAAAATCAGTGATGACACAAAGTATTCACTAACAGGTGAAATATATACTGCCCGTGCGGTAGCTATAGCACTTACACAATGTGGTTAAAGAACTGTGCATTGTTACTTGACATTGCATAGCGGTACTCGTCACATAAGGCGACGACATGTGACCAAACCAGACAATCAAGTTATGGACCAGATATAAAGTCACACGATAGCAAGTTGAATAGCAAGTGACATAGTGATATTGCTGGGACATTGCTATCAGCCCAAGCCCATGATACAGTGCAGGGCAAAAGAAAGTATACCCATGTTTGATGTGTGCTAGAAACCCAAGAAAACTCATTAACAAGAAACTGTAGTTATTAAAAGGTGATGTATTCCATACCGGTATTATATGTATGTTTTGGACCCTTAGTATGTTTCGGCAACTATTTGCAGCCAAGTAACGTTTTCATAATGGATTTTGTGTTCAAATCCTTTTTGTCAGGCTCTGTGTAAGCTTTCGTTTGCCCGGCTGTTTGTTACGAATCAAAATGAATGTTTGTTTGAGTAGACCGTGTATCTCACATCAGACCCACAACATAGTAGATCACCATAACAGAGTTGTTGGTTTCATTTTCATGATCTCCATACATGTCGCTAGGACGACTCATTTCATTTTTATCGTTACAGTTATTTTGACACTAGATGTTGAAATAAATACTCTGATGCTGTGTCTGTCTGTTCCATGTGTTCCCGTTGTGATGTGTAGATTACAAAATGTATGTACATATTGTTAATTCAAAGGGAAATTATGCGCATACGCTGTCTCTATTGTTGTTGTTTTGTTCACGTTTAAAATTCAAAATGGCCTAATGATACATAAATGGCACGTAGTCGAAGTGAAAAGGACGTTGTGTTTGACGGTCATTGAAGCGGAACTTTGAGTATATGTTATACTCAGAACGTATTTTCTGTACATAAATCGTGTTTGTGTGTGTGTATAATTATTTTTTTATTATAATTTCAGAGGACAGCATAGTATTTTCTGTAATATATCAAAGTGTTATATACTGTTAGATACTATGTTTATCATACAGGGTCGTTTGTTTCATGTTGAACCTAAATGACAAGGTATTTGAATTGGTCCACGTTCAGTTCACAAACATATTTCAAGAATGAAAAGGTTATTATAATTATTTTTAAATACACTCTCTTAAAACGTGTAGTAGACTGTAGTATATAAGATCACATGTGACATACGGAGATGAACTCGACGAAGAAAAGAAGATTAAGTCAGATCTGTTTGAATTTTAAATACTCATTTCACAACAACAACAGTTTTATTTTATTCTAGTTTGTAATTCCCAAAGGTGACATGTTACATAAGATGAACAATAGATGATGTATGTACTTGTACTTTTCAATGGAAACAACATTGACTAGACAACAGATATGTCATATCTGTATGTCAATAGACTCGGAGTACCTTACTGTTGAAATAATTATTATGAAATGTTATCTGTGGTTTCCATGTCTGTACGTAATTAGGATATCCGTTTGAGTTCTTAGGTACCTTCAGTATTAACATTCACAATGACGGATGATTTGATGATTTGTCTGTAGCCAAGTAACCTCACGAGGACGTTGTTACAGATTGGGAAACCCTAGAGAAGGATGCACTTGTATGTCCCGAGTGACGGATTCGATGGCGACCATGACAGCATGACTGCCTTTCTTTTGCAATGTTCATGTAGGGATTTCAGTTATGTACTTCCGTGCAAGTATATATTTCAGTAATCAACTGCCGTGCAAGTAGGGATTTCAGTAATGTACCACCGTGCAAGTAGGGATTTCAGTAATGTACCGCCGTGCAAGTGGAGATTTCAGAAATATACCGCCGTGTATGTAGAGATTTCAGTCATATACTGCAGTGCAAGTAGAGATTTCAGTCATATACTGCCGTGCAAGTAGAGATTTCAGTCATATACTGCCGTGCAAGTAGAGATTTCAGTCATATACTGCAGTGCAAGTAGAGATTTCAGTCATATACTGCAGTGCAAGTAGAGATTTCAGTCATATACTGCAGTGCAAGTAGAGATTTCAGTCATATACTGCAGTGCAAGTAGAGATTTCAGTCATATACTGCAGTGCAAGTAGAGATTTCAGTCATATACTGCAGTGCAAGTAGAGATTTCAGTCATATACTGCAGTGCAAATGCATATTTCATGGCTGAATTCGTAGATTTTACATTCCAAGTACTACAATAACCATTACCCGAACTGCTTCGAAATCACGTCATCTGTATTGTCCTTACAGAAACATGATGGCATTGTCGTGAATATGCTTTATTGATGAGTGTGAAGCTCATACACAGTTGCCCTGCATTAGCTGTACACGTGATCCTCAAGCTCATGATATTATACACACAACAAACTGTAATGGAATAAAAAAAGTCTGAATTCTGTTTAAATACTGACACACGAAGACGTTAACGAACACTGTGCAATTCGTCACGCACATCATGTGTTTAACAAACTCCAACTGATCATTTACGTGTTTCACAATATCTGGGGTGTTAGAACTTCATCAAGGAAATGATAAGGGAAAATGGTAATTATTAGTTTAGTTCCGGATTGTTTCGAGGTCATGCTGACAGGCAGAGATATAACTGAAATATTGCTTTTATACAGTACAACCTGTGTTACTCCAGACGCACCCACTAGTTATATCAGTAAACAATTTAAATGAAGTCCTTTTTTACAATTACTCGTCTATCAAAACCTTATTCCGCTAAATATGCTTCGTCATATCCGGAGTAAAATGTATTTGTATACCTCACAGGCATCGCAAATTCTTACAGCAGGGAACGACTATAAGCTTGATAAGCCTGTCAAGTTGATTGCCAACGTTTCTCTCTGGACCATTTGAACATGAAAGCCGTGTCCTGCTACATCCGTCTTCGTAATATCCGGAGTTTAACACTCATATTCAGTTACCAATGTCTCGGCTATCGATCACCTATTCTGCTTCATCCACCTTCCTTACTGTATGTCTGGAGTGAATACTAACGTTCTTTTTAAAAGAAACCTTTTTCTGCTCCATCTACTTCGTAATATCCGGAGTTGAACTTTAGCATTCTCGTTACCATTTATCGGCTATCAAAGCCGTATATATGTCTTCATTATATCCAGGGTTTAACACTCACGTTCTGTTAACCATTTCGCGGCTATCAATTTCGTATTCTGCTATATCAACCTTCGTTTTTGTATATCCGATGACAAGGTTATCACATGTCAAAGCGTTATTCTGCTACATCCGTCTTCGTCATTTTCGGGGTTGATTGTACTTATATAACATTCACAGAAACATCTTAAAACAGAGCACTGTAAGCTGTAAACTTATGCCTATCAAGTAGTCACACCCTCACACAATTGACTGCACTGCAACAATGTCAGATGAGGCCGTGTGAACAGCGTCCCAAGGCCTGCTGGAACTCCCACGTGTGGCATTCTGAAATTCCATCCTCATTCATCTTGTGCAAAAAGCGTAACCTTATCTTTTCCAAACGTTATAGAGTCTGAAATAACAGACAGGGGGTGGAACATTGATATGATAACTGGTTCACTTAAATATGTGTACAGATGTAAGTGTCTAATTCAAGAATTCATGCTGACATTGAGTGGCAAATCTGACATATTTGCTACGTGTCATAGACAAGGAGGATTGTGTATATCTCACTGTCATTTTGTTCAAAACACATCTACGCAGTGCTTTTATCAAATAACTGTTCTCAAATGAAAAGCATTCAATCCTTAGTTCTGTTTATGAAGACTTGTGGGTATTGTTTGTTTTAGTGTAATTTGCTTCCAAACTTATGTCTACGGACCCATTTTCAAATTACTGTTCTAAAATGAATCGCATTCAGTCTTTCTTTAGGTTGTAGGTGACTGGGACCAGTGTTGTGGATTTTACTCTGATCTTCATCCAAACAAATCTCCGGAAGGCTCATTTTTAAGTGGCTATCTGAAATAGAAAACATTTACATTTTACATGAAAAATATACTGTGTAGATGTGTTGCTGAGAATATTTGTCAAACATTGTAAAGTCATAACTGAATTTTATATCTCGAATCAAGTCTGTTTTACATATATGTATAACATAATCTGTCCATGTTGTTACTGTGGCAAATAGGAAATGACATCTTGATTCGGTAGTTTCATTGAATCTAATAACACTGTTTCCAGGAAATGATGACTTACATACTCTGCTATGTAGATGTAGCGCAATAAACCCATTTCACCCTAGCATAATGTGTAAAGCCACGTGCCATGTTGGTCCCTGCAATGTACATGTGTTTTGTGATGTGTACATAGTTTGTACAGTAGGTATGGTCTGTTGCAAATTCGTGAAGAACTATCATCTCCTACGTGAACTGCGCCTGTGATATGTCTCATTAAATATTTAATACATTTATTTTTGTGTCTTTCTTGTTTGCTTCAATTTTCATTTGTGTGTTTCGTGTTCATTTTCGAGGACTCTCCTGGCAAGATGCTGTCCCCGGTAACCAAAGCTGGATCTCGTTTGCCTGTCCGGGTGAAAGGGTTGACTGCATGTCAAGAGTATGGGTCGGTGCTCATAATATGAATCACCCGTTCGATTACAGATGTTCGTGATTTACCTGAAATTTTGCATACTGTGGCGTTAAACAAATAATAGGAACAAAGAAAAATATCCAAGAGGGAGTTTCATCTTGTATATCTAGGGCATCTCTTGATTTAGAGATATTTTGGAACTAATCGAATAGCAAGCGAGGCAAGAATGTCCGCTTCACGTGGCTTAGAGGGCCGGGCACACATCTGATGCCTGCCGCTATCCTACCTAAAGCCTTAGCACCGGTATCATTACAAGCAAACAGACGCACGCACTCACGCACGCACACACATACACAAGCGCATGCGCGGCTATAGAGGTGCAATAATGTTCATTTGAAGGCGACACAAGCAATCTGCTGCATGGATTTCGGGGTCATACAAGCTCCCTATAATCCCTTACTTGGTGTACGTAGGACTGAAAACATCTGGTGGTAATTGTCCGTGGCCATGCTTGGTTGACTGCGCGTCATTTTAACTAAGTGGCTTGTGATGTTGTTCATCATATCAGTCACTGGATTTGCCTGGTGTACACTGATTTATGACAGGCTAAATATTTGTTAAATTGTCAGGTTGGCGATTGCAATCAAACAAGTGACAAACGAATATACGCAAACGAAGGCCGCGGTTGGATGGTAGGCTAGCGGCGCATGGAAGGTCGCACCAATGACGCCCCCCCTCAGTATGTGACTCAACTGTATTTCACATATAGTCTACATTTCAAAGCGAACGGAAGATGCATATAATCTTGGCTTCGCGCGCTATACGTTGAAGCAGTCGTACAATCTGTACTAAGTTTTGTTGTCAACTTCAATGCTGTTCAAACAACAGGGTGTTCGTGACTCTAATCCAGTCTCTCAATGCGATGTTTGATCTGCCGATATCATATCCGAGCTCGTGGGTTCCACCAAGGTTTCAGATATCTACTGACCACGTTACTTTCTGTTCTCGACGTGTTTTGTGGTGACCCATTTTACAATTGTACTACTAAATGGAGGTAACCATTGTAGCAAAAGGGTTATACGTATCACCGTAATGGCCGTACCAGTGCGATATGTTTCTCCTGCATTACTAATTAGTGATCTCACAGTGCGGTGAGTGAGTGAGTATGGTTTTACGCCGTTTTAAACAATATCCCAGCAATATCACGGCGGGGGACACAAGAAATGGGCTTCACACAATGAAACCATGTGGGGAATCGAACCTGGGCCTTCGGCATCACCAGCGAACGCTTTATCCACTAGGCTACCCCACCGTGTGGACTACTGCACACACATAGGATCCCGTGAGAGTATATACTGATAAGGGGCACAGTTAGCCAAGTCCTCAACACACTGCCACTGGCTATGCAGAGTTGCGTCCCCTTGGTGTGCCAGAAACCAATAAGCAACGGTTCGAATCCCAGGTGCGCCCTGATTATGTTTCCAGGATTTTCAGTACTATACCTGTGCTCATGGCTTTTATCTAAAGTCGTAATCGCTTAAGATAAGCATCACCTCAGACTGTATTCCAACACACTGTGATGCAGCTGATATAGTGTTTAAAGCGACGTTAAATTAAATGCACACTAGCATTACTTTAAAAACAAAAACTTTCAGTGAGTGAGTGAGTTTAGTTTTACGCCGCCAGCAATATTCAAGCTCTATGGCGGTGGTCTGTAAATAATCGAGTCTGGACCAGACAATCCCGTGATCAATAGCATGAGCATCGATCTAGGCAATTGGGGTACGATGACATGTGTCAACAAGAGAGTCAAAACATTGATAACTCAACAGTCTCGTTTCCTGTTGACTGGGTCACGTCGTATTGCGCAACTTAGTACAATAACCACTCCAGAATTTTGAGACCAATTCATTTAACTGGATACATAATTATTAATCAGTATTATTTGATACATCTAAGCACTTGTATATTGCAACACTACGCTCGTTCTAATCCTTGCAAACACGTCGTGCAGCGTGCTCTGTCGTACAGCGAGCTCTGACAAACGGAAACCTGGAAATCGTGGAAATCTCAAAACGAGGCTCTCCCGCTTGAAAAGTTTGGCTGTCTGGTACGGACTTGATATTATATCAATCACATTGTGTTTTACAGAACTACACTGAACAAGTGCAAAAAACACATAACCAGTGTAACCAGTGAGCCAGATGCATTTTACCTCACCAAACAGGGGCAGTCTGTGACGTCTTAGTTAAGGTAATGCTGCCTACACCTCGCCATAAAATATAGAAATACGATGTTATTACAGTTTATAATTAAAATTCATTTGTAAATATCATTTTCGTTTGAAACAAGGAATTGGAATTCAGTGTAAAAAATAGTTGTTTGTGATGTCTATTTTCACTTTCACACGAGAAAATTCGGGTCGGTTGAAAAGTAGGTCATTGTCTGAATAGGTTGATGAGACTCGAGCTCATGTGTCGGTTTGGTCACCGATCCTGACCACCCGATCCCGCCTTTTACGACAGGCATGGGTTGCTGAAGGCCAATTCTAACCCGGATCTTCACGGGTTATTTCAAACGAAGTGAGCAAGGTTTTCTCAAGATGAATTGAGATATCGGAATGAATGTACCATGCACGTGATGAACTAGATGTGATCATGGGGTCTAAGATAAGCTATAATTGTGTGATTTTGTAATGTCGGCAAATCAATCACCGACTGAAGCCTGCATCTCATCTGACGGTTTTGTCCACATCATGATGACACGTGATTAGCTGAAATACTGGGGGGCACTACTTCCACCCGTTTACACGTACCTTGTCACTCACTCACTTACTCACTCAATTACTATAAACAGAAGGTGTGTGCGTAAAGGCGAACGTATGCCGTCTCATCAAGAGCACCCATCACAAACACACTCAAAGGCAAGTCAACTGTTCACCTGTACAAACATGGGAACACATGAGACAAGAAAAAGGGGGCAACTGTATCGTACATCATTTCTGATTGTACGCCAAGTAATATCTCCTGTATGCACTGTCTAACAAGAATGCCGGGCCGTTAATAGTAGATCCTTTCCAATCAATAGATGAATTAAATTGACGTTAACTGTTCTTATGTTGCTTAAAATCAGCAAAATGCGTTAAGCAAGCAGACATATCACTATGGACAACCACATCCATCTCAATTACCCGCAGGTCGATAGAAAGTGATGGGCCTGTCAATACAAGGGCGATAACTCTGTGACTCATGTCTATTACCGCCTCCATGGATGGGCCCTTATATGTATATTGCTCCTTACATCATAGCTGCAAATACACGAACTAAAGTACTGTCGGAAATAGACAAAAACTGTTTTTTTGCATTGATATCTACAATTTATGTAGTTAATATGTGTAAGTTTGAAATATCTGTTAAACTAAGTTCGGCCTAACTACAGTCTCAGTGGTAGGGAGATAGGAAACGTACAAAAAGTACTTTACTGAGGAGAGATTAGTGCAGAAATGAGAAATCCTAAGCGACTTATTTGGAACAGGCCATGGCTTTATGCAAATTAGTGTGCGATGATATTATATTACAAAGGACAATTTTAGAATGTCCATTTTGAAATTAAACTTACCTTCATTATAAACGATAGCTGACGTAAAAAACAATAACTTTAATACTGAAACTATGAAGGATGTAGCAGCCATGGAGGCTCACTATCGCTATAAAAAGAAACAGGTAAGAGGGGTCGTCTCAAAAGCCAATCCAGGACTGGTGTCGCAGACGGTGGTTAGGGTCGGGCTGGGGGATAGAGATATAAGCTGAGATAAGATAATCCTTTAGGGGAATTAAACTGGGAAGAAAACGGCATGTCATAACAATTTACAAATAATATTCAGTCCTGGCGATCTTCGGCTGGTCATGACACCTATATATTTTGAGACATTTAATACGATGGCTGATTTAAGCTTTTCCATGGGTATCATACCCTTTTACGTATCTCAACATAAACTTTATGATCAATAAATGAGACATATTCAACACACATAAAAAGGCATAAAATATCTTTGAGATGACCCCTTGTGCCTGTAGGCAGCACGTGCATTTCATGCCAGGTGAGACGACGGTCCCTCGTCATTCCTGGCTGAGCGACCTAATTGCCATCTATAGTCCGATCTATTGTTTTGAGCAGCTATTCGTGTTTTCTCTTTTGCCCGATTTTACGAGTAAACATGCTTTTCTGGATATCTTATTACACATCCCACTGAATGCCCAGTTAGGCCGATGTGGGTTATTTCGATATATGCTATTTGTAAATTTGTAAATTTTAAGGATACAGAGTAACAGCCTAAAAACAGTTTGTTTTTTCTATTTCAAACAGTACTTTAATGCCAGTTTTATAGCACTGGGACCGCCTCCGTGGTGTAGTGGTTAGAGCGTCCGCCCGGAGAGCGGAAGGTCGCGGGTTCGATCCCCGACCGCGTCATACCAAAAAAGACGTTAAAATATGGTACTTGTTGGTCCCTGCCTGGCGCTCGGCATTAATGGGTACAACAAGGACTGGTCGGCTTGGAGTCAGTATAATGTGTCTGAGTGGGGTATTCATGCTTCACTGCGGCATGGTATCTCAGTGGGCTAGCACTATAAAACCAGCTTAAGTCTGGGCTAGTACAAGCAGCCGCACATACACATACACACGCATGCACGTCGTCATATGAGCGAAATATTCTTAAGTACGACGTTAAACCCAATTTCACATCACATCACATTATAGCACTGGACCACTGAGATACCAGGCCGCAGTTTTAACAGACACTATGCCCTGACTCCAAGCAAACCAGTCCAAGTGGTTCCAGACTTCGACCTTCATAGCTAAGGGGGGCGGTGGGGTAGCCTA